TCATGCTAGCAGATTTATGCAGGCATGCACCAGTGTGTGTCTTTCCTTTGGCCAATAGTGTTGTAGCAGCATGTGGTCCAACTGTCCTAAAGTATCAGTTAAAGACATCCCTGCGCCTTTCAACACCACGACCCCACTGAGAGAATCATTCGCCTGCGAATAGACCCTAGCACAACAGGGGTGGCCAAAACCATGATGTAACTGTTACATGGGAATTACATGGTCAGTCTATCAGAGCAAAACATATTCAGAATTTGCATGTGTTTTTGTTGTAAAAGGCAGTGTCAGGCTGTAAATTCTGGCAATTCATTCAGCTCCTCGCACAGATATAAGGACACATGCACATACAAACACACAGACGGAGGGGAGCAAGAAATGAGGGGTGCAGAAAAAGAAGTGTGTGAGAGAGAGGGAGGGAGGTAGGGAGTACTGTAACAGTAGCTCCTCTCATCGCCACCAAACTGCATCACCCACAGGAATAACAGTTGGGTACATACAATAGCCTTGCGCATAAAGACACACAAATACCACACCAAGAACTATTGTAAAGCGCAATGCATGGAGAGAAGAACCCTATAACACTTTCTAACATCCCGAATGACAATGCCAGATGTCAACCTACAAGCAGATTTACTCCTCTCAGCGCTGTTGCATATGAATCAGCCTAAAAGAAGAGCCCGGCAATCCATCAGGGCTTAAATAGTTCAAACAGGAGCAAGGAAATAATGTTTTTTTTAAGTTATTTTACAAGTATAGACAGATAGATATAGATCCCATGAGACTTCAGGTATAAAGTAACGTGTATGATAGGTTACTTTTAGGGCTATGTGGGGTATGTGAGTGAGTGTGTGTGTGTCGGGGGGCGGTAGGCCAAAATATGTTGCCCCGTGGGACCACAGTGGAACCTCACACCAGCCCCCACAGAGAAGGAAAAGGCCATCTGCCCTCCTCACGCATCAATCCCACCTAGAAGACCCACACACATGCACACACACACACACACACACTGAGTGCTGGGTAGCAATATGGAGAGGCTTTGAGACAGTGTTTGATCTGCCTTTCATCCAGTTGGCAGCACGCAGGCCACTGAGCCTCTCTGTGTGTCTCCTGCTGTACTGTCCACTGTCCCAGTGGAAATCACCAGCCGATAACAACAGCTCCAACCTAAGGCATGAATGGCAGGACACAAGCTGATCAGCCTCATCTCTTGACTGAAGGAACAGGAGGGGGGCACAGCTCAGTGGATCCATTCAAACTTAAATGACTTAACTCAAATGTTTCTTTAAAGGCAGAAGTCACACAGAGAACATGCCAATGTGACGTGTGTGAGTTAAAAGTAAAATTCAGAGATATGGCAGGCATTAGAAATTAAATAAAACAGATGAAAAAATGTAGCAGTAACAGAAAAGTCTGCTTCAAAAACAAAACTGCACATAAAACAAGATAACCAAAGCAAGGTACATTTATTTGTGAAACACCTTTCAAACAAAACCAATTAAAAGTGCCTTAGGTGAAGAAACTCACTTAAAATACAATAAAAAAGGAGAAAAACAAAAGTGAGATAGAAAACAATTATATGTAAATTTATAGACCAGAAATACAGTTACAGTGCAGTTATGGTGTAGTAATAAGCTGATCAATAAAGGAAATAAAAGTACAGCTAGTACATAAGTTAGTCTTTATACTACAAACAAACACATGGTAGGAAATGTCTTAAATAGAGAGGAACTGTATCATCACCATTGGGCCCAGGAAAAACTACAGTTTATAGGATTAATATAGGCTGGTGCTAAAAAACCTAAAGATTTTTAGATGGTCTTCAGGGGAAAGAGACACAAAAAGAAATGCAAGAAAAAAAACCTGGTTGTGGATCCAAATCTGGTGTGAGTCAGCTGAGCCAGACTGCCCCAAAACATTGATATGGTTTTGGAGGGTGTATAAGTTGATATATTGAGGGACAGAGATGGGCCAGGTGTCACATTTATTATAAGATCAAGCCTATTCCTCTAAAAAGTGTCTTTATCTTTAAAAAAAGAAAAAAGTACCAAGTTTCAGAATTCTCCTTCATCTTCATCATCACTGACTTTTCATGCGGTTTGAAGCAGGCTGAGGCACAGATGGACAGAGAGCCGGTGTGGTCACACTTTATGAGTCCACTCAGCTGAGAGACTGAGGCCTGTCTGGAACCATGGGCAAGCCTCAACATCAGCTAGACTATAGCAAACACACACACACACACACACACTACACTGACAGCTATTAGGCAATCAATAGAAGCTAATACATCAGAGCATTTGACCACTCAGCTCCACTAGCTTAGCAGACAGAGAGGAAGAGAAGAGAAGAGAGGAAATCTATCAATCATGCTGTATGAAGAAATGCATTTAACAACGCACGAAAGCACACAGGTGGCCCTGAATGTATGAATATCCCTGCAACAGCACTCTCCTCTTCATATCAATAGACATTACTAATGGATCACAACATCAAATGCAGTTGTGGCCGCATTTGTGAGATGACTTGAGTGAACACATTGTTTTGGAGAGAGTTATGGCCGTTTGAACCCTCAGAGGAAATTAACCTCAGCAAACCTATAAAAGTCCTGTGCTCCTATCATTAATATCACATTAATATAAAGATTCATCTGTCGGACTGGCCTCCAGAGGCCCTCTTAACTTGCCAGGAGGTTAAGTGTGAAATCAATCCGCATAAACGACCTGGATAAAAATTCTTCCATGCTGGAGCGTTGAGCCCTAAATCAGCCAATCAAAGAGGTGCTAGTAAAACCAGTCTTTTAGCACAGCTCGCTAACAATCTCAGTATTTCAGCTCTGGCAGCTCATTCTCCTTTTTTCTCCTTCTGTCTTTATTTTTGTCTTTGTTTCTTGTCCCATCCTTCTCCTCCACCCCTCTGCTCCTGGAAGGCCACAAAGGGGTGTATCACCTCCTTTCACAGCAGGCCTCTGGTGGAGGCTTGGGGGTTGTATACATGGGAGGTGCTGGTCCAATGAAGGGTGATCTACACTTGTTCAAGCAGTCATATTTGGGCTATTTGAAGGGAGAGGGAGGCTGTTAAACATTCAGTGAGGAGGTGACCCCCGACCCTGAAGGCTGCTGTCCATCCGTTACAGAAAATAAACAGAGAGAGGCTGAGCACAGTGACTTTACTGCCCTTCTCGCTGCAGACAGCTCAGAAAGATGTACAGAATAGAAGAACAAGCATCTTTCAGCCCTTTATCACTATGATTTGATGAAACAGGAAGATTTCAGATCTACGTCATTTTATTTAAATTTTCTTCTCCCACTGCTTGCATCTGTGTTGTAGCGCTCACTTAGCACTGTGGCAGCATCGTGGTGTTTGACTACATGCCCTCAGTGGTGACCCAGAGGTTAGAGGTGACATAACAGAGCACTGAGACAAAGACTGGACACTGTGTCATCTGTCAGACCCCTTGCTGCTGCCACCACCAGTACCAATTGGGGCTTTCCTCAAATTAACCCCAACAGACAGACACACAATGGACAGATCTATCTATCTATCTAT